CACCACCAATTGCCTGGCCCCTCTTGCCAAAGTTATCCACGATAGGTTTGGCATCATTGAAGGATTAATGACTACGATTCATGCGACCACTGCCACTCAGAAAACTGTGGATGGTCCATCCGGAAAAGTAGGTATCCTCTTAACGCACCACCATTCATTATTTCATTCTCAACGCTGATTTAATGTAAATTTTTACCTATTTATTTACAGGATTGGAGAGGTGGAAGAGGCGCGGGTATGTAATTCGGATTTAACTTTTCCACTTCCAACTGATAAATTATAGATTGCAAATTTTTTTCCTTTATGCATAGCTCAAAACATTATTCCGAGTTCAACGGGTGCCGCAAAGGCTGTTGGAAAAGTGCGTTGATCAAATTCATTTTTTTTTTTTTTTTTTTTTTTTTTTTTTTTGCAACATCCAAGTTACGAGTTAATTGATCACCACGATTTTTTATTTTACTAGGTTATTCCTTCTTTGAACACCAAACTTACCGGTATGGCTTTTCGGGTTCCCACGGCAGATGTTTCGGTTGTTGATTTGACAGCACGTTTGGCGACGGAGACGAACTACGAGGAAATCAAGTCTGTCATTAAACAAGCGTCAGAAAATGAATTGAAAGGAATTCTTGCCTACACCGAAGATGATGTATGATCTAAATTTCTGTTTCTGAAGGAATTAAAAAATTTTTTTCGTCTTTTACCATTCTTTCGTCGTCATCAGGTCGTATCCGCGGATTTCATTGGTGACACTCACTCCAGTATCTTTGATGCTAAAGCCGGTTCGTGATGTTACTAATATTGCATTGCTTCTTATTTACCTTCTAGAATTATTTAATTTAAAGTTTCTTTCCTTGTTCCATAGGCATCCAATTAAGTCCTACCTTTGTCAAACTTGTCGCTTGGTATGACAACGAATGTAAGTCATTCGACATTTCTTTTTTTTTACTTTGCAAGTATTTTCTAACTTGCTCCTCTCTACTTAGACGGCTATTCCACCCGTGTTGTTGATTTGATTGATCACATTTCCAAAGTAGATGCCAACTGTTAAGAACTATAAACGTCAATATATATGGACAATTAGTTTTGAAGACGATCAAAATATTAAACATGATTTTTCGGTTCCATTTTGGATAATACGCATATAATGCAAATTTTAGGAACACATTTATAGGGTCCGAAAAATCCCTGTCCGCCTTCGAAAATAATTACCCATATATATATATATAGTATATCCATCACATTAAAATTGTGTTAGTAAATTATGTGAAATAAATTTTGCACTTCATTTCAGGTTTTAATCCGATAAATTAAGTTCCTCAGTGATCTTAATATTTCGAATAATGAATGAATTTTCCTAATATGGATTTTTAGTTTGTCTATTGAACAAATAATATTGTTATTAATAAAGGTGGTAGAAATCTAATTGTACAATATTTATTTAAAAAAAAAATTTTTTTTTAACCAATATTTTATCACTTTAATTTACATTAAAAATTTCTATTGAGCTAGTACAAATTAAACAGAATTAAGTATAAACTAGGTGTTCTAAGTTTAATTTAGAAAATAATATTTTGATTTTTCTTTAAATTTTTGAATCAAGAAATCATTATTATTATTTGTTACTTTCAATTATTATTGTTAAATTAAATATCAATATAAATTAACAAACTCTTTTTACTGATCCTCTGATCACACACAAAAAAAATGGTTACAAGAAGTTTTTAACTTTTATGCTAATAAAATCTTCATACTTTCTTTAAAACAACTTGAAGATTTATCTTCAAAAGTCATCTACATTTCTTCCTTTCTTGTTTACAATTCTCTTTAATTATAAACTTGGCTTATAATGATTAAAAAACTGAGTAATATCTTTATTGCTAATGGCAAAAAAGTTTTTAAAGGAAGAAAATCAATGATGAAGTATTTGAAAGTCTTTTTCAACTTTGTTGAGATCAAAAAGATTTAATATAATGAAAGAGACTTACTTATCTTTTTCCTTTTTTTACTATTATTTCTCTCTTAAAATTATTATTTTTACAATTTTCTAGGAATTTTTGCCTACCTCAGTTTAATCCTAAATTTTAAGTAACATAAACTCTCATCAAAGCTAATTAATTAATATGAAACATGGTAATTTCTGAAATATAAACAAGCTTCTGTTGATCACACACATGTGTCTGGATGGGACATTGTTTTTTAACATATTATTGAATATCAAGAAAGAAAATAATCTTCAAGAAAACTATTTATCATCACTTAGAAAAATAGGAAGAACAAAATACTTAAAAAAATATAGAATGAAAGTAACACCTTGAAAGTGTACCACCTATTTATATAAGTTTGAAACATCAGAAGATTGAAAGATCCTCTAGAATCATTTATATCAATAAAAAAATAAAATCATCAACAAGAGATGCTACTATCAATATAGTAGATCAATTTCTTCATTATGATAATACTCTAAAAATAACATTTATTTATTTTATTTTTTTTTAAATTAACCCTCTGTCAGGTTAGTTAGGTGTGCTTTATTAAACCTTTGTAAACTATACA